CACCAGTCACGCTGATAAACACAATATGGCTTCCATATTTAAAAGTCAGTCAGGCGTTTTCGCTAAATACCCATGAAGTAGACAGAGAGAACCGAAACTGCGGAAGAAAGCTGCTAATTTATCCTCAAGTGTTTCTTTTGCTGTTGCAAATGAGGTAAAGTGAAGCAGCAAAAGGCTCCTGGGTTTGGTTGCTGCGGTGTGGCTGGAGCTGCAGTAGCTGTAAATCACAGAGGCATTCAGCTCGCTAATGAATCAGCAGTGGAGGGTTTGGGCCAACAGACCGCTGCGGGGCTCAGATCCAGGACGCTCACCCCGGTTAGCGCAGCGCTGTTACGGTTTCATGTTCCTCAACGAAGATAAAGAAATCAATAAAGATAAAAACAGCACATTGTTAAAAGTTACCGAGCACAAAATGAGAATGCTGCGATAAAAAACTGAAGGAAAAAAGAATTGTTCAGATTTTCTATTGAAAGCTGAAAAGTCCCATTGAAAACTCTGTCAGAACTAAAGGATGACCTGTTTTCTTTGTGTTTTATAAAGGTGCAAACTGAAGTGTTTTTCCTGCCTGAGCCCATTTTATGTTCTGGTGACACACCGTTACCTTAACCACACATTAGTGTTCAGAAAAGGGTGTTTCACAGATGATTAGCAGAATTTGTAGTTAGCTGTAGGTCCATAGTTCAGTTTTCTCAAACATTTTTGAAAAAAGTGAAGTCAATGCAGAAGTACTTTGGTTAATTTGATTCTAACTTCTTTTATATATCCAGTAAAATAAAAAAAAACTTTTAAAAAACTGAAGCGGATCACTAATATACAATAAAAGTGTGTAAATGTTAGGTCTGCATTGAGTCAAGCCTTTCTTCTTTATTCAACACAGGTAATCGCAGAAAATCAGTTTCACACAAACAGCTGTCTCCCCCATACTTTAAAGCTGCACTTACAACACTGTGTGCACAAGTTTTAAACCACCCCTAACCGCTTCACACTTTGCTATTTTCTTGTAATCTTTTGTTGCATCTTTCGGAAAACGTTCCAAGGACTGACCTTCAGGAAGCCAGAAGAAATATTGATCAGAACCACTTTAAAAGATTTGCAGGAGAATCTGTTTTCCTGCAAGCCAAGAAATTGCAGGAGGCCAGGCAGGGCCGTTAAATAAATTAAAGGCCCTGCAAGAATAGAAAAGACAAAGCTGTAGCCATTTTGAACAAACCTTGAAAATAGCATCATGCTCAAAGTCATGCATTACTGTGGGATCTCACGTGACCAGTGTTAGAGTTATCCTACTTTATCCGGCTGAGACCCCCAGTCTTGTCTGCACAAAGTCGGTCTAGTTTCTGGCCCGGTTCTGTACAGATGAGACAGGCCCAACTGCTCTGAGTGAGCTTCCCAGGGTTAACACCCAATAAGGAGTATTTTTTTATTTTGCTGTCTTCCACCACATAGATAGATTTGCACTTTCATCCATTTCTTTCATCATCAGAAACAGATAAGGCCGATGAGGTCACACATAGTCACCCCACTGATACACTCTGATAGGCTGTGCTCCCGGAAGAAGGCAGAGCCTAGGGCCAAGAGAAAGGATGGAGGGTTGAGCCACGTCTGCTCTTTCAGTCCGTGAGCTCCTTGCGTGTCGAGTCGGAGACATTCAGCGCTGAACCTGTAACTTTCTCCTGCCTGATGAACAATAAATTGGTAAACGGAAATTATATCTCTTTATTTATTTGAATTAGAGCGAGTTTCCTCTCCATCTGTGAATAAAGAACCAGTCACCGGAGGTAGAGAGTCGGACCGGTTAGAGGGGCGGAGCCGGTCCAAATTCTCACACCAGTTAGGAAAATGTGATATGAATGACTCTTATCTCACACCCCAAATTATAACTTATCTGCAAAACTGACTCAGTTATAACATTATTGTGTGGGTAAAGTTGATTAACTGTAGCGGCCACCAGTTTGATGCTAAATGTAATTCAGTTGTAGACGTACATCTAATGATTATCATCTGAGAGTTTCATTAAAATAATCCAGTTTATCATTATTATTATCAGAAATATTTTACTAACAGACAAAAAGTATTAACTCTAAAAGTTAATGCCAACGTTTAAGGCAAGTATCTTGTGCATTGAGTGGCATTTAAACTGTGTTTGGGATGATGCTCATCTATGAGGCTACCAAAGCAAATTCAAGCACATGTATAAAACTGACTGAATCTGAGCCATTATGTGTTTTCAAAGGTCACTTAGCTGTGGTGGCCATCTTGAATTGGGTTGAGCCCAAAAAGTAATAGTTGTAGGTGTGCATCTAACAATTATGATGGGGGATGTAAAGGTCATGGATGTTTTTCACTTACTAATGTTATAGAACCAATTGCGTGGGTTGTTTTATCTGAACAAAGTGGAGCCTGCAGGAGCACAGAGCCTGTGCACATCTGATAAACTTCAAGGACCCTAAGCTGGAAAGCAGAGTTGTCTTGACCTCACTTTTTCTGATAAGCGTAATAAGTTGCGCCTTTATGCTGTCCGCGGGCAGACCTTGTGATCCGGGCAATGGGCGTTGTGCAACATCTTGTGTCCTGGTTTTCTACTGCTGGTCCTCTTTTTGCAAGGATTGAACCTGGGTTGTAAATATCTTCTACTTTCCTTGAGTGGCTTATTTATTTAATGAGATGATGATAGGATAATTAAATTATCCAATAAATTACTTTAGAAAAGTTTCATTAAAATTGGTCAAGGTGCTTCATGTGATATTTTACTAACAGAGAATAGTGTTTCATGTGATATTTTACTAACAGAGACTAGGGCTTCATGTGATATTTTACTTACAGACACAGGGTTGACTACAGTAGTTAATGGCAACGTTCTAAGCACAGGTTCTGTGAGATCAGTTAGCCCTTAAAAGTATGGGTTGTGGATCAGTCTCAGCTACTACCAAACCTAAAACTTAAACTAAACTAAAACCTAAAACTAAGATAAAGCCATTTCTGTGTTTGCTTTGATGTGGCGTCCATCTTGCATCAGGATAACACCAGGAATTAATTAGCTGTAGATGTACTGATTACAGCAAATTACAATAAAATCCATTATTCAGTAGTTCATGAGATGTTTCGCTAACCATACAGTTCTTTTCTCCACCTTAGCCTTACAGCGGCGAGTGATAAAAGGGAATCACTAAAAATGTTTGTAGATCGCTGGATGTTTACATCTCAAAGGTCAGAAATGTCTAATGATTTCTCTGGATAAAAGTTCATCCAAGGTGAAGACAGTGGGTGCAAAAGGTGCAAAAGACAGCGTGTGGAGATCCATCGGTGTCCAAGGTGTGGGTGATTAGTGCTTATCAGAAGCTAGCATTGATGCAGGGCTGTCTTTTGGAATTTTAAAGACAAACATGCTGCCACCTAGATGCCATCGTCTCCTTGAAACGCTCATTATTTCCTGCAGCACGGTCCCACACTACATTCTGCCTAACTTGCAGAGGCTTTACAGACACAGACTGTGCGTGTTTTAAATTTGTGCCTGCAAAATGTATCGTGAAGAGGAGTGTCAAACAATACCAACCGCAGACTGCTGAGCGCTGAAATCTGGCACAATGGCCACAAATTCTTGTTGCTAAACTGCAACAACCAGAGTTCTCACTTCCTAAATTCTTCAATGGGGAAACTATAAGAAGTTGCACTGGAACACAGTGGTCAACATGCCTGTCTGACATTTGCTTTAAGTGTTTCTGAATTTAAATTCAATCCAATACAAGAGAGTTGTTTGGTAAACAGACTAAAGTCCTGATGCATGCTCAATAATCCAGATAGATTAATCTAACAAGGTTGAGTCGGGTCCTCTGGACAGACTGTTCTTTGTTGAAACGTTTCATCTTTTATCCAAAGGACCTTCAGTCTAAGGAGCTGCAACAAACTCAGTCTTATAAATAGCACATTCTCATAGTGGATCAACCAGTTCACTGGTGACAGCCAGAACTAGTTGTTCACGTGTTAAAGGAGGACCATCAACCTAATGACTGATCGTTAGTGCCCTGATGGTAACTTGCTACTCACAGAGGGCTGAGTGATGCAATAACAGCAGGGTGACAGTTGAACATGGAGGTCTCCGTCCCTGTTTAAAATCGGACAGGTTCTCTTCACAATGATGGCTTTTGGCAGGTCATCTTTGAGCCTGCCGGATTCTCTAAGATGGCACTCTTTTAGGGATGACTCATGTTCGTGCTGCTGTTGTTTGACGTATTGTTCTTGTACTATTAGTGTTTAGCGTATCCTTAGTTCATACCTTAGATCTTATTACTGTTTTTCTTTACAATGTATACTTTTGTTGGATGCAACTGGGACCCTGTGTACACAGTTTTGTTCCATCACATGTACCACATTTGGTGTGAATGACAATAAAGAACCTTGACTAGACTTGATGAAGATGAGGATGTGCACATCCTTGATAGAGAGGAACGTTGGTTTAAGAGAGGAGTGAAGGAAGCCATCTTTGTAAAAAGAAAAAAAACAGCTTTATTTTCTTTATTTTTTATTTTATGTTTCGTTGCTTAAAAATGTTTTTGAAAATCAAACAAATGCTGCATAATTTTTTTAAACTGTATATCAGAACATACATAAGGTTGTCAGGTAGCTAATGGTTTATGTGTACTAAGGTAAAAACTCCAGATATTTTTGTTGCGTTAGAGAACGTGCTGAATGTGTTCTGTTCGTCTCTCAAACAGTTCTGCACCTTAAAATAAAACTATGCCCTCATTAAAAAGCTGGAAAGAGGTGACATGTCATGTCTTGGTGGTGTTTTAAAATATTAATACCCTTCTTCTCTCCACTATGAATAGATATACGTATTTAAACATTTTCTGCAAAAATGAAAACAACAATGACATTTCTATTTGATTGGGTTCTAAGTGAAAGGAAAGGGGACAATAACAAACAGGGATACAAAGCTGTTAAAGTCAACAGCATCAGATTGGACACTGATCCTTGATGCTACTTTGTCTGCAGGTATAACTCACTTAAACTGCTGGTGTTCCCTGGAGCTGCGGATCTTGGAGGAGAACCTCTCGGCCAGTTTCTCCAAGCTGCGGGAGTATTCCAGTTCGATCTCGGCTTTGCGTCTGAAGAATTCCTGCAGGTCCTGCAGCAGCTGGATACGAGACTCCGAGTGCTGCTCCAAGCACTTGAACTGCTCCACTAGTTGGTTACGGATCTCTGTCCATTGAAACACAAAACAAAAAAAAACTATTAGATGATAAATGACACCCTCCAAAATAAAGCTATTAATATTTCAAAGCTATTAAAACAAAACCTTCAAAAGCCTAGCATCCTTACAGGATTTCTTATCGTTGTGGGAAATTTGGTTAAAACTTGAAAATAAAGTTCTGTCTTGTGGTTTTTGAGTGCTTGTGTTCACACAACAAACACACACACACACAAATGCACAAGCATTTGCATAACTGTCAACCTAGAAGGCAATGATTATTTTGGTTTTAAGGCCCAACCAAGTTACAACACAGATGGTTTCCACAAGTATCAATGATACTGATGAATCTCTTTATTATAGCTCAAACTAACAGCATCATAAAGACAAAAAGGCACGTGACAGTGAAGGCACCACGAGTCAGTCATACGATCTGTGTGTGGGTGAATTTTCATAATACTGTGGACTCTCACAGTTGGGAAGAAGAAGAAGAAGAAGAAGAAGAGTGACATTGGTCTTTAAGAAGAACCTGACACTGTCAGGCAGAGTGCAGCTCCTTCGTGCTCGAGGGGGCCATGAGCAAAACATCATTCCACTTTGTAGTGCTGTCATCAGCAGCAAAGACGCCTCAACCCGTGAACAGAGGGAGTTTTATTCCTCAGAGCAGAGACAGAAACATTTCAAGGAGCGATCACAAACAGGACGAGTGGTGTCAAATCACACGAGAGAGTTTTGATTAAAACTAAAATGTTTCATCAGCTCAGATTAAAACTGTCGCTCAGGGCAATTTGTGGAAGAAATGCAGAAGTGGAACTAGAGAAAAATATATATTTTCTGTGAACGCGCAGTGTGAATGCCAAGTGCTGGACGACAGCTGAACGGTGAGAGAAGCTGAAACGGAGCTGTTTATAGATAAAAGAAACGCAGCATTAGCTGAAAAACAAAAGAAGCTAAGTTTAATTAAAGCTAATGTAGCAAAAGGCCAGTTAAAAGCTAAAAGTAGCAAAAGGCTTGATAAAGCAGCAATATGCTAGCTATAGCTGAAAGTGACAAAGGCTAAAGTTAAAAGTTACAAAAGGCTAACTAAATGCTAAAAGTAGTAAAGGTAGTAGAAAAAAAAAACCTCAATGAAGCAAAAAAGCTAGATAAATGCTAATAGTACTACTTTGGCTAGCATCAAAGTTTAGTTGAAAGTTAAAAGTAGCAAAAGGGCTGGCTAAAAGCTAAAAGCAGTGGAGCAATTACTAAAAGCCAAAGGTAGCATAAGGCTACATAACGGTCCCATAAAGTAACAGATTGGTAGCTTAAAGCTGAAATGGCAACAAAAACTGAGCAAACATGCTGAAGTAGATGTTAAAAAAAAATTTTTTTTTGAAGGAACTGGAGATTTTAATGTATTTCTACAAGGAAAATATCTGTAAACAAAGTTTAATAGTTTGAAAAGCATAAAAGTTGCAAAAACCAAATGTAATAGCACCCATCTCCTGACTGAGCTGAACGTTTTGATATGCGAGTGGCTAAAATAGCATTTTTAGCTATTGTGGTTAGATTGCAAAAAATACAATAAACAATAAAATCGTTTGAACGCTCAATATTCACACAATAACAACATGTTCCATCTGATATTTTCTTTATTTAAACTGTGTAACAAGATAAATATTTGTGTTTCTATTTGTAATACCCCGTGCACTTCATGCAACAGATTTCAACAAGAAAACACGGCCCGTTAGTCTTCACCACTAAACTCAAGTGTCCGTTACTGTATATTTATGTAATTCTTGCATTCGTCTTTAAGGTCTGCACAGAAACAAATGAACCAAATCAGCAACAGAAACATGAACTTCCTAATGAAAGCCGGAGCATGTTGCAACATCCTTCTGTTACGACACGAGTCGCTGCAAGTCATAACCACCTTAAAAACAAGAACAGGATGGATTTCAGCAGTGACACGCTACAGGCAGATGAACTGCTAGCAGAGCGATGAAAACCACGCAGAGTGTGTTTTCATGCTGCTGAGGGTGTCGTTTGGTCAGCCAATCCTTCGTCGTGGGTAGATACTGGTTCTGACAGCAGGGAGAACGGTCCTGTTGTGTTTGTGATGTTGTGCCGCCTGGCCTCTGCCCTAAATAGCATGCTTCACTCTGTGGTTAACCACTGACCCTGCCTTTTTCTTTATCCTCAAGCCTCCCCTTTTCTTTTAATTTGAGCCTAAAGGGATACTTTGCATCTTTTAAAGTGGGGCTCCATGGAAAGTTTGTGAACAAATCTTTAAAAAGCCTCTATTGGAGTCAATGCAGCTGGTCAGTCTGTTTGCAAAATATCTCATGAACCATCAGACAAATTTTAATTAAACTTTCAACAAGTATTCTTTAGGTGAGCATCTATGACGTATTAACTTTTAGACCCAGTGCACTTCAATACGGCCACTATTATTAACTGATTTTAGGAAGCACAAAAATGGCCTTAACTTAGTCAGTTTCAAAGATGTTGAGCTAATATTTGTTGAGGCAGTAGCTGAGCATCATCCCCAGCATATATTAGGAGCACAGCACATTTGCACCATAGCTTTACTTAAAACCTTCTCATTGACTGTTGAAGTCAACGCTATATGACTTACAACAAAAATACCTCATAAACCACAGGGTGGATCTCAACGAAATTTTCAGAAAGTAATGACTGGATGTAAATCTATGACTGATTAATCTTTGAACTCAATTCAGTTAAAGATGTCTGCCACAGTTTAGCCAGTCAAAATTACAGATATTGTGCTAAAATTGGGTGTGGTTGTTGCAGATACATATTCAAAATGTATTTTCCAACAAAAATGACTAGAACTTTGTCATTTCTCAATATCTGATGATCTTAATTAAAAACTCTGACATGAAAGGCATATGCATTCTTCAAAGGATGTAGGGCCTTTAATTTACATAGAATTCTTTGATTATATGCAAACACAAAAAACATCAGCAGCAATCTGTAGCACTTCCTGTGCAGCCTGGGCAACTTCCAATAGACATTATTATATTTTTGCCAGAATGATTGCCTAATGGACTGTTAACAATGTAAATGTTTCTAAAATTGCATTTTTATGAACCAATATAGCAGCACGGTGGCGCAGTTGGTAGAGCTACTTAGCAAGAAGGTCGCCAGATCAAATTCCAGCTGGGGATATTTCTGGATGGAGTTTGCAAGTTCTCTTTGTGCATGCGTGGGTTTCCTCCCACAGACCAAAAACATGCATGTTAGACTGATTGGTAACTCTAAATTGTCTCTAGGTGTGAGTGAGAGAGTGAATGGTTGTCTCTGTGTCCCTGTGATGGACTGGAGACCTGTCCAGGGTGTACCCTGCCACTCGTACAGTGATAGATGGATATTGGCACAAGTGACCCTCGTGACCTGAAAAGGAAGAAGTGGGTAAAGATGATGGATGGATGGATCAGAATCAGAATAAGATTTATTATCATTGCACCGAGATACAACGAGAACATGTACGTACAGCCGTCCGAAAGATGGACGGAGTGCACAAAGCTGCTGATATAAAGAATACATTTTTTTAGATGGATGGATGGACTGATGGATGGACTGATGGATGGATAGATGGATGAAGGATGGATGAATGGATGGATGGATGGATGGATGAATGGATGGATGGAGGATGGAAGGATAAAAGTTTTTGAGACTGAGGAATGACAGTAACCTACTTAGAGCGTGTCCTCCTTCCATTATTAGCTCATTAGTTTGGTCAGAATTAAACTCTTCCTCTCTAAACTGAGGTTGTTCAGTGAGCTATCTGCAACAGGTAAGACACTCGTTATTTATTTTCTTTTTACATAACGTCACTTTAAATCCGAAATATCCCTTTAAATATCAGTTTATTACAGAGACCGGCCCAGTTGGGCTTGTTTTGTGCTGCAGACATAGTTGTTTCCTACTTGCAGTGTTTTTGTTCCTTTTTCTTTTCTTTCTTTTTTTTGATAAAGCTGAATCAGGCGGACCAAGAGAAATGTCTGAGGAAAACTTGACAATGACATGCATGAGTGACAGGGCAGGTTTTTAAAAAGGAACTGTGAACACCAGCTGCAGCCACACTTGTAGGAGATTGAAAAAGGAAAATGCCACCCACCCCAGAAGTGTGGCCTTTCCTGTGAGAAACCACAAGCAATTGGGAGAATTATTCCCAGTTCTTTGAGAAGCTTCATTCGCTGCGGTTTATTCAAAGAGAGGGACCCCTCGGCGGTTCTCTTCCTCTCTTTGAGAAGTGAAGGATGGTGTATAATGAATATGTAATATACGTACTACGCCTGCAGAAAAATTAACGATGATCGTTTCTTTTTCAGGTTCCTATTTCCGCCAATTTCCAGAAGGAAGATTCACTGATTTCAGTGACGGTTTCTGCAAATACTTATTAGGAAGATAAAACACACCCATAATTTCAACTGCAGATCAGACATTCATAAAATAAAATAAAAATCAATGCAAATACTCTTACAATTGTCAAGAAGTTTCCTGAAGTTGATTGTATTTAATCTCTATAAAATAATGTAAAGTTTTCTTGAACCATGAACTCATTTTTATGAAGAATTCCCTAATATCACTGATTTGTTGAATAAAGATTTTGACTTATCGGAAGAGGTTTACGTAATTTTTTAAACATTGTGTTTAATGAATCTATTATAAAGGCGTGGGGCAAATCTCCTCACCTCCAGAAACAGGATTATCTGCACAGTCAACCAAAAACACAACTTAATACAAAGGGAGAAGGTTAAATCTAGTGCTGCTGGGCTCTCCGTTATGTTGTCTTTGTAGTGATGGAGTGATCTGTTCTGGTTTTCACTGTAAAGAATATGATTAGGGTTTAAATATGGTCAGAGTTCAGTGGGATGATACAAAAAAAGAGCTGCAGATCTTAGTTTGGACACATTACTGTAGCCCTTTAGAGCTTCACACACAGTCAGGCTGTCATGAGCTCATGGTGCCAAAATCTGAAGAACAATTTTCGTTTCTGCAGCCA